TATATACAACTATCTATCTATAAATACCTACACGTTGATAGACCACATTTAAACACGACGAGCAAGACATTTTGTCTAAGCATTTTTATCAAAAAAATCTATATTTATGTTCTTCGGTTCACCTTTGTGTAGAAGTCAACAGTCTTGTTATGCCGTCTATCGTATCCGGATATTACGAAATACTCCAAAATTGAATATAAAAATATATAATTATGATACCTACTTAAATGTTTTTTTAGCTTTTATAATAACTCACATAGTAATGAGGATATAAATTCTGGTCAAATTAAAAATTAATAAAAACGGCTAGGTAGATACCTACTGCTGTGTGTAGTTGGAACATGTGTCCCAGGCTGTCCCGGAGCGTCATTTATAGATTATCAAAGCTAGAAAAACAAAAAACATTTGATATGCATATTTATGCAATAATAATAATCGAAGAGTTTTATTGTATGGTTAGGCTGAGGCCACACAATAGTGTCAAGAGCATGCATCGTGTTTTTACAACAATATATTTTGTATAACTTACTTATATATTACAATGTTTAATGCTATGACGTGTTTTACAACATATGACTGAACATTGGACTTTTTACTTATATAATCCTTTATTGATACAAGGCAAGCGTTATTAAAACCTATCTAGGTAGGTTGGCAGGCTTGCTATACGAAATCGAAATAAAATATTAGGTTGACGCTCGACTTTGTTTATTGTAATTATCGTAATGTTAAATTTGTAACAAAGTATATCTAATTACAAATTAAGATGGCAGTTCCTCCTTCATTCGTTAGCTTAGTAATAATTTTATCGTAGCACAAGGCGTCTTAATTATTTTGAAAGAAAGAAATCACATTTATTCTGTACATTACCTACATGCACCGAGATGTAAACAAAAAAAGGTGTTATTAGTAACATCAAAAACTATCCATCATTAAATGTTTTAAATAATAACCTAAGCATAAGCGCAATTTATGACAGTTATGACAGTTAATTTTTCCCGCCACTGCACGTTAAAAAGACACGCTTTTATACCAAGTTTATGTTGTTGTCGCGTAAAAAAACTTAGAATATGTCTAGATTTCGTTGAATTTGAAAACTAGTCGTTTGGGGAAGTCCTAAGAAAATTACCGACGAGTGTACGCATATGTATATTATGCGGTTTTAATTAATTCACTGCTTCATCACATTTAACCGCACACTTAGCAAAACATTTCATTTATATATATATATAAACAATATTATTACTACCGAAGTTTCTAGTGGAAGGTTTTTACGAAAAGTTCTCCCTGAGAAATTTATGGTTAGGTACCTGGTAAGTATGTCTGGTTATTTTGTTTGCAGCAAAACTGTGTCAACAGGTTGGTAAGCAACTACATAATTATGTAGGTACTTACTTCATATCGTTATATTATTCAATGTCCAATCAATCTTACGACTAGATCCGCCTCATCAAATGCACCAACCCATTTACTTAATACGTTTTAAATTAAAAAGCAGTTAAATTGAACTGAAAATTGATATTCTATATATTCTAGATTCACTCGCCTAATCGATTATTAAAAATAGAGCTGTCATTCTTTGCGATCTAATGTAATTTATCGAGGTTATAGCAATATAGCTGGGGATTATCCAAATTGGACCAAATCACCAGAAATAATTAATCACTGTTTGATTAGACACGCCTACTTCTCGTATAGAATGAAACACTGTGATGTTGATTTAAAAATATCTATAGATATACTTAATTACTTTACTAATTGGCGCATGTGCACACGCGTTTAGTCAGCTGGCCGTCTATCTCAAAGTTCCGGCTAGCAGTGAGCTCCTAATTATATAAAAACGAACAAAATATACCTACACACTTAAATATACATACAAAATATCTATTAAAAACATGACTTTCGGCCAAAATTACGCTTTAGAATTACTTTATAAAGAGTTGTGACGTAGACGCATCCGGCTCAGTTGCACCGCGGAAGCCCGAGGTGACTCACATCAATTAAAAACTACCTATAGATGTATTAGACAGAGTAAATAGTAGAACACCTACCTAATATTAATTAATGATTATGTAAATAAATCAAAGAGGCCGGTATACATGAACCACGATAAGAATGCGGATCATCTTTGTAATTGATGACTTTTTATTGACTATATGATGATTAATTACTTCGGTATGCTTGAGGAAACCTTATTGTAATTTACTTAAACCCTTGAAGTTAATAACAGAAGCAGCACGTGAAGTAAATGATGGTAATCATTTACATTTATTCAATCTAACATCAATGTTGCAGAACGACTCTACTCAGTTCTACAAACATTAAAGAATCTAGCTACACAACACGAGAATTTCGATTTTATTTTTATTTAGATAATTTACTTTTGAAGAACCGTAATAGCAGTCAAATTGATTAGGTATAAAATACATTTCTTGAGGAAAATGCGCTTCGGAACGAACAATGACTAGATATCTGGGAAAATAGTGGTTTTGTAGATTACGCTTCTGACCGTGAACGTTCAAGAGCAATGCCTCGTGAACCAAAACTATAAAAAGTCCAAAACTTTTGCAGTAAAACTATTTCACACACCACAGCCACGCCTACCTCAGGAATTCAGACAGTTTAGAATTCAATGTAATATAATATTCTAGTATTTTAACCGTGTCCACTAAACATTATAATTTTTACGCGAAAAATATTACAGGTGTCATTAGCAATTCTTATTATCATATCTGTCACATTATCGTAAGTAAACAGACAGGCGGATATATTTTTTTAATATAAGGATAACAGTTGACGGATGTAGCCTCGATGAGTATAAAATTAAGTTAATTTCTCACAAATCATGTCGTTGCTAGCAGTCGCTTGACCTTCGATGATGCACCCCCCGCTAGCAATAAGAATTTAAGTAATTCAGTTACAATTAAAAAAATGCCAAACGGTTTGTTATTTTACGTGTGCAAATTATCCGAGCATGCCACCTGAAACCGGAGATAGCCGGTAATCGGTTTTTATCAAGTTTCTATTACAGTTTTAAAAGTCATCAAGATCATCCTATTATTCACAATTAGGTAACTAGAATGGTATGATTTAGACAAAAATAAATCAGTTTGAATAAAATATTAACCCAATGAAAACAGAACAACAATTACAAAATAATATTCGTGAAGAACATATAAGTAGTTCGCATGTAACTGACCACGGTAGATGCAATCAAACGCAAGGCTTACAAAAATACAAAATAAAAAAGTCGTTTTAATTTCCGTATAGTAGTTTACTAGTAAAGAGTCACTCTCGTCTGTCGTAGATAGATAAATACTTGAGTATATCTAAGCACCTATCGTGAATCGTGTAGCGTCAATATGTCTGGACCGGATCTACTCTTGACGGTTTTAAATTATATAACTGTGGTTTGAGAGTACATAGTTTCCAAATTAAGAAAATTATGGATACTTTGGCCCGATTTTGTCAATCATCAGTAAATTCTTAACTGTAGAATAAAACTGACATTTGACAGATTTTTGTATGGAAGAATTGTCAAATATTCAAAATTAATCCTCAGTTAAAATTTACCTGGAGTTGGAAATTTTGTGGCCTGCTGTTATGGAGTTCGATAATCAAATTAGCATTAAATACCTTCATAACAAATATTTTTTTATTTAAAGAACGTAACGCAAAGTTGTTCTACAATAATACTAACTGCATAGAAACCTCGTAACTAGAACGATCGCTGAAACGCTATTGACGTGACTCTTTTCTGCATTATTGCATTAAGTATTTGAAGCTTCTTTGTACATGGTATATCCTTATAGACAGGATCAATAGACAAATGCCATGATATTTAACTGACCTTAAACGCTTTTACAGTTTATTTTAACCCGGATGAGAGTTGATAGTTTCAACTATGTTAGTGACAATGAGTGCGGAACTTATACCCCACATAGGGACTATTAATTATTATTGATCAAGAATGCGCGCAAAAACTTTAAGATCCGCCACAATTCGGTCATCTTAAGGAACTTAATTTGCGTAAGCGTTCGACCCTGTAACATTTTATCTTACGCAATATCGCCTGATATTACAGCTTACCATGCTTTCTCAAATGCTGTAGACCTATTTCAGAACGGAACTCCTTCGTGACTCATTGTCTAGCTGGCCATTTATCATTAACTTTATTATAGACCTGTCTGTCGTACTAACTTTTAAGTACCTACTTAGTTTTCTAGACCACCGTCCGGAACTGGCTATGATTTGCTTTCGTAAGAACAGAAAACGTATATCCTCAGTTGGCAAATGTTCAATGTTTGAAGAAAATGTCCTAAGTAGGTGACACGGTACCAACAGAAAAGCATCCGCATTGTTCCTTCACACACCTGCCAACACCGTGTTAGGCTCATAAAATTATAAATTAAAATGACAACAATTTAAATATAAAAATATAGGTACTACATTGTAATTCGCAAGTTATACATAATTTGCTAATATTTTAATAGGAATAGGCGAAGATAGGCATCTGTATGCAAATTGTAATGGTTGATAATATGATAAATAACGCCGGTGATCGACCGAAGCTTTGCAAGACGTACCTATTATTTCACTAAAATACTTAGGTTTTCCCACACTTGGAATCTCCCATCAAAATCTCCAACAAACAATTATGCAGTAATTAAGAGCTTTTTATGTTGCCAATTCGCTCATACTGAATAGCTATCATTTAAATCAATTTACTATACTGACTTAGGATTTAAAGGTTTAAATAATAGAACACGACTATCTCGGCTTGACCCACTAGAGTCTAGTGACTAGACAAAACATGAACATGCGGTAGAGTTAACGAAACGAAATGTCGTAATTGTAATGTCAGCTAAGTAGCTAGCATCAGATTCAAGTGATCTAGAAATTGATGAACTGACCAAAAAGTTACTAATCATGGTATAGACTTGGAAGATTTTGTTCGCGATATAACATTAGAAAGATAAAATGTTTAGTTATGTATGAAGCCCTATTTTAATAAGATATGCACTGGATTATCCAATATCTTACGTCTTTCCAATGACACAATGCGCCATCGCAAATATAATCGCGTGGCTCACGTTTTCTCACGTGTCGTAAATGTATTTATTGTAATTAACTATGCAGCAAATGGACAATCTCTTTTCTAGGAGACAGGTAATTAAGAGCAAAATGATGATTCCGTTTTCGGTTAAATAAATTGATACCTACTTAGATATTAGTAGGACTAAGAAGGCATCCAAACATTAATGAAGCAATAAGAAAACATCCATTTGAGTACCTACTAATAATAGTACTTAACGAGTATCCAACGATATTGAGTGTTTGAATCACGTTGTATTTAGTACACTAGAATCTAAGAAATAAGATTTTGCAAGCCAAACATTATCTGAAAAAGAAAATGTGGCAACCATCAAGGGAGAGCGGAGTCAGTAAGGGACTGGACAGCTCCTTTCACGTTTTCCTAAGTATCAAAAAATATTTTTAGTTACAAACCTGAAAATACCGACTTAAGTACTACTTGTCTACAACGGTGGTAGTTAGATTACAACTTAGTTTGAATTGTAAGCTTAGAAAGCCGAGCGCAGAGTGAAAGAACTCACCGCTAGGTTCATCTTTATCAGTCTGTTTTTATCCTGACACAGGGCACTTGACATAGAGTTCTCCAAATCCCCAATAGCACACCAATGAGCTTGATCTGAAGCCCTTCGCATCCAACCACTGCCAGTCACTTTGCAGATAGGTATTAGCGCAGTGTCGCAATCTTCAATCTAGAACATCTGCTCCAACAATCACACACTGATCGGTTCTGCAAGTGATGTGACCAGTCCACAGTCCACTACCACCTCACTTCGCTTTTCAAGAAAAGGGAACCTCTTTTTGAAAGGGAGTGTCAGACTCTTACTGACTAAAAAAACCACCTCGTTCCAATTCCTGCTTCGATGCGGAGCCCTGGTAAGCACAGCAGTAATTCTTTAAGAACGTGTGTAGTAGTAATTTATTCAAATAAAAGAAAGACAAGCGACAGGAAATATGAGGAAGGATATTGTCAAGTAACGCTACACAATCACGATTATTCACGATTGCAAATAACATTGTCGGTCAATCTCTTAGGTACGCGATACGGAACTGAAACCCGAGGCTATGTTTATTGTAATTGAGGCTGGATGCGAGATAATAATCGAAAGGTAATCGATTAGGTTATGTATTCAAATGCTATTGATAAACTACAATTATGAATTAATATTAACTTGTTCAAATACGGATACTTATGGTATGGTAATAGAGAAGTCTTTCACTCGCACGATATAACAAGTACCTACAGTAGTAACTAGCACATTAGTCACTCTCTACGCAATTTGTTTATTTTATGATTTTTTGCAGTCCATTTATGTATGTATGTATGTACATTTATTGCGGTAACGGAACCGCAGTTTCAAGTCACGACTCACTCATCTCAGCCACGTGCCTCCGCGAGTCTGTATGATCGTGTGTACAGTACCTTAGAGGAATGCCGCCCGCCTCCTGCTGCGGACGACCGGTGAAGTCACACGCGTACTACGCATTCCAAGCATTCCTAGGAGTTATGTTACCAATAAGTCTTATATTACACTGGAACCTGATTTAATCTAATGAAAGAATCGATGCCTACACGGATATAGATATGTGACTAGTGGAACTATTAGAATTGTTTTTGGAAATAAATCCCTAGCTTCATATTTTAGTAAGTCCCTAATTAAACAACAAATTGCCTAAAAAAAATTTGTAGGGACGGAAGGATACTTAAATGCAGCTTAAAATTAAGTAGAGTTTCAGTATTATTCGGGCATAATAAATAGCTAACCTAATGCGGGCCAATTACTTACCTATAGGTATATCAGACAATATAGACATCAGGACAAGGTGAAATCAGTGTGAATTTCCAGACCAGTCTTAGTACCATTAGTAAGACAAGTTTTATATTTTTACTAACGTTCAACCCAGTAAACTGAGCATTCTTTGAACTTCCATACCATGCCCTAAATTGCATTTATCACATTTAAGGAGGGCACCTATTGGTACTGCAGAACATTTTTGGAATTCTTAGAGTTGGCCCACCACAACGCCAGACCGGTGCAAATATTTGCACAGCATTATCATCCAATCTATCTAAATAGGAATCTGCTTCGTATGCCTATGCGGATTCTCGGAGATTCCGGCTCACTACCAGGTATTTATTACGTTTCGACACGATCTGTGCGTTTTTGCTTCTAGGTACGTTTTTATTATAATTTCCCACGGGTACAACGGTAGAATAGTAATTCATTCGTTCATTTATAAATATAGGTACACTTAGCTGTAGACACGAATTACGGCCTTGTAAGTGAGCATTGAGGGAGGTCATATAATGTCCTTCACGTAATTTATGTTTACATAAGTATTTGTATTAGCATCAAAGCAACGAGTTGCATCAGTTGCATGCATTCGAATCATCTTATTTTTCTTGCCTCAAGTGCTGACTAACAGAGATCTAGCGTCTAAATGCGCTAACAACTCCATTGCGGTTAACCAGTTCATTCATCGAATATTTCTCATTGTCGTTACATAAGAAGACAAAGTTCAGGGCCAGCTAGCCTCATCGTGGGTCATTTTCACTCGGGTATCGGGCGCTCGATAAACAAGGCGTGTCTAGATCGCTGGCTCGGAGGCTGCATCCGGGCCACCGCAGGGATCAAGTTACGGCGGGGGCGTGCGAATGTCAAGGAACCCTAGCGTCGCGCGACTCGCGAGGGCCTGCGCTCGAGCTCTCGACTCGTCAGTCGCAGCCGACATGTGCGTCCGCGCGCCCGCTGCCGCCGCGCTCTGTTCTCTCGCCGCGATCGCCGCGCTCGTACCGATCGACAGTGAGTAAAACTAGCTCATGCAACATCCTATATTATATTAGACGCAATTTATTGTTTACTGTCGACTTAAGAAGATATAAAGGATGAAGAAATTTCATAACCTGTCAAAACTATCAAAAATTGGAAGATAAAAACTGAACTTAGTTTAAAATAATATTTTTATTTTTCAGGCGTCAATGGTTTTGAGTGTACCAGAGACGGTCTCCATACAGACTATGATCAAAATTGCCAAAAATATGTCCGCTGCAGCAATGGTGTAGTGAAAGGAAGATATTCGTGCCCTGATGATCGGGTGTTCAGTGAAGCTGAGGGTGCATGTGTACCGCGAGCCCGACGACCCTGCGTGCGCCGAGAGTGCACGTCTACAGATACACTTGCATATGCAAGTCCTGGCACAGCTTGCCGCCAGTACTACCGATGTGAAAATGGTACAGCAGTAGAGCGCAGCTGTCCCACGGGAGCATGGTTCGATCTGGAACACCAGGCGTGCACTCGGGGCGCCGGCACCTGCTTCGAGCCGGTGTGTGCGGGGCTGCCCGACGGAGAGTACCCTGACGCGTCGCACGAGTGCCGGCGCACGCTGCGGTGCCGCGGCGGCGAACTGCGCGCCGTGGCGTCGTGCGGCGCGCACTGCGCCACCGTGTGTCCGCCGCCGCGCGCTGCTGCAGCCCCGCTGCCGGCAGGTGACGCAGACTTCTGCTCTGACGAGACTTGTTCTTCACTGTGCCGTGACATACCTAATGGTGCATATGCAGACCGTACGACTAGCTGCCGCGAGTATTTTGTTTGTGAAGCGCATCGAGTGATCCGCCGCGGAGTGTGCGAGCCCGGTCTCTTGTTCACTAACGGTGCATGTGAGCCAGCCGCACAGTCGTTGTGTCCCGCGCCCGCGCTGAGCCCGTGCTTCAACAGACACGACGGCCTGCACAGACTGGCACGACTGCGCCTCCTGGTTCGAGTGTCGCCGTGAGAGAGTCGTCAAGCGCGGCTCGTGTGCACCAGGTCTCGTGTTCGATGGCAGTGGCTGCAGTCCTTCCGATAGTTTCCTTTGCGATGGTCCAGCGATCTCAACAGAATGTGAAGGGCTTCCAAGTGGCACATACCAAGATTTGGACTCTAACTGCACTCGCTATTTCCACTGCGAAGGTTTACTCCGAACCATGCTTGCCTGTCCGCCGGGACAGGTGTTCGATGGCGTGAGGTGCTCGCCAGCCTCACACTACCTGTGCCCGAGTCTAGAACGCGAGTCTTGCTACGGCCGACCGGACGGTCGATACCGTGCTGCTGACACTGGTTGCAGAGGCTACTACGAGTGCGTGCGCGGAGAAAAATCCATCTACGCGTGTCCAACAGGCCGCGTGTTCGATGGCGAGTCTTGCGTGCCCGCGAAACCTGGATTGTGTCTGCGAGAAGACCATTCGTGTGATGGTCTCTCAAACGGCTACCACGCAGAGATCGAGTCAGGATGTCGAAGGTAAATATATAACGCTACAACGCATGAGTTGGTACCTATGCATGAGTTGGTACCTTCTGTAAAAAGAACTATGAACACCTAATGTGTGCTTACAATATTCGAAAACACTACAACTAATCACGTCAAAATAATGTACAGTATAGTCGGTCTACAAAGTCTAGATTTTCGTAATTTTTCCATTACCCATTATAATAAAAAAGATTTTTCAAAAGAATGTTGCATGTTTCTCTCTCTCTTTTCATTGAATTTTTAACTCTCTGTGATTTTCTTTTACTGAGATACGACAGTTTAAACTTGCAAAATGATTTTCCATATAACACTGATGAAAAATAAACATAGAGTTTATTCACAGTATGCAATTTTTACTGTGATCATAATCCTGGCATTTATGCAAACTATTTTCAGATACTTTTACTGCGAGCGCGGCGACCGGCTGGTGACGCTGTCTTGCCTAGGCGGGAAGATGTTCGACGGTCGTGCGTGCGTGAAAGCGTCGCAGATGTCGTGCGGCGGGGTGCGCGGTACCCATGGCGTGGAGGAGGGCGCGCGGTGCGTGCGCGACGGGTTCTTCGTGCAGGCGGGCACGGGCTGCCGGCGCTACTACTTCTGCGTGGGCGGCGCCCGCACCGCGCTGTCGTGCGGCGCGGGGCTGCGCTTCAACGGACAGCTGTGCGTGCCGCCCGCGCAGTACACGTGTCCCGGCTGAGCCCGGCCCGGCCCGGGCCCCGGCCCTGGAGTCGCTCACGATGTACCTGATCCTATTTATTCGAGGCTGTGCCCTGCGCGGGCCCCGGGCCCCAGCGGCCGGGCCCCGCTGTCTCGTGCGCTATGATTACACCAGTCTACCACAACTACCTCCTACTTGGCAATAAGACACGATTACTTCTTACTCTTTATTGGCATAGAAACTTTCAAGCGACCTAAATACTTCTAATAGTAATTACACATTGACTATATATTACAGTATTACTTTACAAACGAATAATAAGCTCCATGAATAGAAAAATAAAATCTCTTTTAACGACATAAAAGAATAGTTAATTTATTTATTTATATTAAATATTAATATTATAATAGATACTCGACCTTAAATTAATACAGATTATAATCGAATCCTCACCAAATACATATTGAATGATAATATTTGTCATATTGGAGGATTTTGTTTTGTTTTACATGTTTTAAGAAAACTATTCAAGTCCTTCAATACAAAAAACACTATCACCACATTTAAAATACTTTTAAAGTATAATAATTTTGATTAAATGAAACATAAACAATCAACTTATTGTAATTAACGTGCAATATTCGTACATTTGTTGAATATATCTAAATAATTTTGGCATTATTCATAAATAGGAAAGCATTTCTAAATAATGTACATAGTATAATATTACGTATTTAATAAATATTTTAAGTTTAAATTTTCGTGTATATCATTTATATGGTGGGGTCTAGTGAGAACGTCATAACTACGGAGGCGGAAAATGCATTAATTTATATTTACCTAGAATGTTCAATATCTCGATTGTCATCACGATAATCCGTAGCCATGACTATCTCGAACTAAACACACCAACCCATATCACTAAAATTTATTTTATACATTTTTATACAACATTCAATTACATATTTTTTTTTAACTTTTTTGACCTACTCGGACACACTTTACGATTGTTTTACTACACTTACACAAGACCTTTTTATATAAATTTTCAATTGGTCCACGCCGGAAATGACAAGATTCACTTGTACGATTTCGAACGGAAAACTTCATACGATATCAACTTGGTGAAAATACGGGCGCGGCCAATCTGTGCCTTCGAAAGCACTATGCCGAAGGGACAGCACTATTTGTTCGTTGAAAACCTTGCAAATAAAAGAAAACATACCTAAAAGAGTGACTCGACAGAGTAAAAGCACCTTTCCATTAAATTCCCGATTAGATCGTTACTTCTCTATACAATTATAATGTCGATAAATGATGACAGTGCACATCACTATTTTATATATGGGGTAGATCATATATAATATTTATTGTCAGATTCAGTAGTTTTCATTAAATAGGCAAAGTACGTACATTCTTAACGATTACCGCACCTTGTAAACATACCTAACAAATTAATATGCAATTGGCTCGATTTATGAAAATATATTTAAAAATAAAACATTAAACAAAACTATTCTTAGTAAATACAATTTAAAATTTGCTCCGTTGCATTGTCACAATTTTAAATATTTTGATTCATTATAATTAAAGAACCTTTTTATATAAAACATAAGCAATTGCCTTGATAAACTAATGTCTTTAGCAATGCCAATTGGAATACAAATATAATACACTGGAATAAATTATAATTTCATAAAATGACGATTAATATTTAAGTAATACATAACTAATTTAATATATTTATACGTTTAACGCAAATATAGTCGGACAAGCTCTAACAGTATATAGTTTTCAACAAGGATACTTTAATATAGTACCATTTGCTTCCCTCAACCAATGGATGACCAACGATTGAAAGTAGATGGTATCATTGTTAATGTAATCAGACTTTATAAAATACCCTTGTTGAAAACAGATCAATTGTTACAAGTTGAAACATCCACATAAGCATTACTTCATTATAAGCCAGCTGACGCAAGAATTAACAAAATTTAGACTATTTGAGCTGCGTGAGTACGAGCATTAGGATATTATGAAGTTTATAAGAATGTGCTAAGTTTAGTCGACTTACCTAAAAATGCAATGCTGCTACGAAGCTTATAATTATTTTGGACTAGAGCAGCTCAGCACATGCTTCGAGAAGACGACATATGAAACTAAACGTCCGTACAATGAAGACAGATCATGTGGATGCTTGTTACACCCGAGCGGGCCGTAACATGTAACAATCACGTAGTGTAACACACTCGCAGTTTATCGTGAACACAATTAGAATCAACACGGTTATCATTCACACGCCTCTTGCCCATGAGAACATTGTTTCGTTTTACACTAGACAACTTCATGAAAACTAATATTGACTGTGGACCGTCGCACTAGACGAAACTAATCCATATGAAACACAAACAATGACAGACTTATTTACACCAAACGTGTGGAAGTTTTAGATTACAGACGATTATTTTTGATCACACATATAAAATAGCTTTGAGATCTTCGTCTCTTTATAATTCATACGATAATTATGATGACACATATATTTTTTTAGTTTTACTATGAATAATAAACGACACGCCATATTCTGAAATGAAAATCTCAGTCTTACCTCACGACGAGTGATGAAAAGCAAAACTTTCGTTGGATTATTATCAACAAACATGAGATACACATTAAATAATAATATTATAACGACGATAACATTAATGCAAACAGCCCGATGGAGAACATTTTCATTGCCATTAACTTTTACAATACAATTTGTTGAAGCTGTATCAATAACGCGTATGTAGCTTGTTTACGCACAATCAAAGGGGAAGATTTTTGCGCAGTTTATTGCGCAAAGATTGCGCATGACTTTAGTTACAATACTGTCGATTTTACCGTTGTAATATGTGCTGTACAATGTTCAGAAGCCAAATATTTTATGTATTACGATTTTAAATACTTTTTAATAGTGTGCTAGTAAAGAAAGCGACATACGTGTTATTGATCAGCTTTTACAGTTGGCACGCGTTACTGATCGGCGGCGGTGGAGGGCTTGGGCGCGGGGGCGAGTAGTACGCCAACGTCCCAGACCTTGATGACGCGGTCCTTGCCCGCCGTACACATGCGGCCGGTCGCCTCGTCCATGTACAGGACGACACTGCGTGCTTCATGTCGTGGAATGAAGCCAAGGATTCGCGACTGGAAACACATTATAATGGAAAATTAAGCCTTTATTAAATTGTTTAATTCTTTCAGTGTTTGCTTCGTACTATGACTATTAAGAAATCATGGTTTCCAAGTTCGACTGCTTGGTTGGGAATAGTATTATTGAGCATTTCGAAACAATCACAAAGAATCTGAAAATACAGTGTATAGCTAACTCAGTTCCTATTAATGGGACCTGTAACTGGCGAAAAAGAACCTTTAGTTAACAAAAAGTGTTATGTTTACGTAAGTTTAGTAATAATCTTGAATAGACAACCTTGGAATAGATTTTTTTAATGACAATTTTGCTTTAACCGTAGCGTAGCTTCAATATGCATCTATTATAGTGGTTTTCCTGCTCAGATATTATTTGCAAACAATAGGCGGATAAACTAAAACACAGCCTGGCTGTCTGTCGGCATGGAGGTAAAATAAATTATGTTTTAAAATTTTTAAAGTCAGGTACTTACGGTTCATGCCTCAACGTTTCGTAGCAGGTGGTACAGACACGTTGCGGGAACTCGAACCCCATGACGGGCAGCGGCAGGCGGTGCGGGGAACACGTCGCGCACACTGCCGCGCCGCACCACCGGCAGTGGTGCTGCCGGAGACCTGCAATGTAGCGCGGCTTTTTATACAACTTTATCAATGTTGTGTGCTTAGTCAAATTCCACGTACATCTTACTCAAGATAACCATTCGAATATACTCGACAAGTTTCGAGCGATACTGGAACTTATAATCATGAAATTCATACACGTTACAATTGAGTATATTTCAATAGTTTAAGTATAATAAGCCAGTTTAAATTTCATGCAAAGGGAATAAATCTAATTCTTTTCCAATGCTTGGCGCGTGGCTTAGGTATCACAGTTAGATTACCAAAAATTAGGACGATTCAGCTGCTTATCGTTTTAGCCATTACCAAACATGATAAAGAAAAAAGTATATTAATAATTACTCATATCTTCTTTTTCTGTTTTATTTATCTTACCAAGTTGTTTCTTCTCCATCATCGCCCTAACATTCCATATGAAGGGGGCACGGCATATCTGGCAGAGGTCGGACTCCTTCCATGCGGGGGTCTCGCGTCGACGGACCCCCATCTCCCAGACCCCCAAGGCCCCATCTTCACCTGCGGATATCAGCCGCTCACAGCTTCCCACATACCATAGCCCTGTCACCTTGTTACTGAAAAATTAACATAATATTCAAACAACTGCCATCATTTGTTTTTCAGAATATGACAGGAAACAATAATTTACTTTAAGAATCAAGAGGGTTTCAAGGATTGTATAACTTTTAAAAATCGTAAACATTCTAATATACATGTTCATATTTTTTTAACTCTTGAGTAGGCACACTATGAGCATTTAGCCGCTCGCGTACGAAAAAACGTTAATAACTGTTACAAAAACAGCTCGATAGGCTTGCACTTTTAGTAGCTGCCTCTAGTTTCGTTAGCAATGCGTGCTGAAAGGTTTAACGCTGTTCATGGGCTGGGGACCAGTTGAGTAGGAGTATGTTACCACCAGACCAGGGCGCAAAATCGCCGGGCATCAAATTGTCCACCACACGCCCAATGACGTTTTACGCGCCCACTCCAGGGTTAATTACATAACATAACATCACGCCTTCCCGAAGGTGTAGGCAGAGGTGCACATTACGGCACTTAATAACTGTACAATGTAACACCCACTTTTCACTATTTATGTTATGAGTCCCATGTAATATGGGGTGAGCCTATTGCCATATAGCAGGCACATTTCTAGACTCCGTGCTAAGATTTTTTTTAAACCCAGTAATACTTTGCTCGAACCGGTAATCGAAGCCAATCGGCCAACAAGGCAGTTAAGCCAAGTTAATTACATAACTACTTTAAAATGAAATTGAACAACGTAATATAGGTATAGGTATGTGTGTACATTTGTACAATGTAAACGAAATATCATAATTACCTGTGTCCTTGTAATTCGTACGCCGTGCCCTTCTGACCTCCAATGTCCCACACTATTATTGTCTGATCGAACGAGCCACTGAACAATAGCTGCGGCAGAGGAGCCCAATTCAATACACGGACAGAACTGAAAACAAACATGTGTAAAATGAAATGTTTACGCGAAAAATTTACATTATTATAAAACTACTTTAATAAAATAAGATAAAGTTTTTGTTAAACCCAAATCTCAATATAAGGCCAGTAACATTGGTCTATGTTTTCCATTTTAATATTATTTGTAGCAAGGATTTAAGGATGCATACTGTGCCTACTATCTACTATATCTATAATTGATACAGATAACTCCCAGACTATCTTCATTACAAAAAAGTTAAAAACTAATCGATCATTTTCAGCAATAAGTGATAAACAAAATGTTACAATAAAATTATTTGATAAGATTTATCGTTAATTAAACTATCTAATACGTATTTCCCGGATTTTTTGCGTTCTTATTCGGAACAAAAATTAGTAATCCAACAATCGCATTTTTGTTGCAAAGACTAACATAACATAATATCACGCCTTTTATCCCCGAAGGGGTAGGCAGAGGTGCACCGGACAGAAGTAACACCCACTTATGAGCCCCATGTAATAGGGGGTGAGCCTATTGCCTTATACCGGGCACATTTCCAGACTCCGTTCTACTACTGAGATTTTTTTTAAACCCAGTAATACTTTGCCCGACCCGGGAATCGAACACTCGACCAACGAGGCAGTCTAGAGCAAATACTAAGTATTTTAATTATACAATTTAGCGTGTGTGAGGTCAGAACAAAAGACATCATACTATGTATGACAGTGCCACAGCTTAGTAACTCAATTAACACCTCTAAAGTTACTCACCCAGTATGACCCTTGAGCGTAGTGACGAGCGTAGCACCATTGTTATCTAACTTCAGCATCGTTATCTGTCCGCTGTAGTCTCCCACAAAAGCATATTTCGACTGCGAGTCAAATCTGACGGGATACGTTCAGGAAATACGTTGAATGCGATAATTTCCTTCAATTATCTCGGAATATATTTTTATGTTATAAATTTTGTGAGACATACTAAATTAATTATTATATTTTTCGGCTTACTCATGTACCTAATTATTAGTTTCAAGCCATGCTAGAGGCCCATGTTCATGAGCAGCATTCCGCGACCCGCGACGCGGCGACTGTCGCGCTGCTGCTCAAATTAGTGGAAACTAGTCGAATTCCTTGTCAAATAATTACGTGAGTAAGACGAAAAACATAATAATTAATCGTTATATATTAGTTAAATAAGTATGATGATAATAAGATGACACATTTCTTTTAGATGAAAGTCCCGTCAATCCTCTCTTTTCGACTTGCAAAAAGGATTTTTTTTTCTCACTCAAATATCTTGAATATAACAAACAAGTAAGATCCCTCCTTTAAGGAGCTTTACAGCTTTTATTGAACAAAATTCATTTCGAAAAGGATACTGCAAAGACGTGCACCATGCTTCAAAGGAGTATCCACCGATCCTGCGTCCAGTTTCACTGCAGTGGTATGCGAACAGTTTGTCTCGACTAACAGACAGCATCCACTCGCAACTCAGCGAAAAATTAACAGCAGTCACTCGAGCCGTGTGCGCTAAGTACTCCCGAGTCTACAAGAAATAAATTGGATGTTCAAAAGTTATAACTATCTTGGAGGAAATTTAATTGTATTTATCCAAATCAGACCATAATGGAGTGCCATTGGCCTGTGGTCAGCAGTGTCAGGTCAGCTGATGATGATGGTGACTTAATCATAAGCTTACTATTAACACACTTTTCAACAAAACTTGCATTACAACTACTTATGTTAGCGAAACGATAACAACCTACAAAAAAAAATCGATGTAAAGGTTTGAACCAAGTAGTATTTTAAAAAGTTACTCAGTTCACAAATTATGTAAATTAGAGTTACACCAACATGATAAGGAACGGAATATACACAGTACAAACATACATTAATTGAAATGGTTTCACTATCTGCGTGAAATGGAGCCAAGGTTAGCGACTTGTATAGGAACCAATTTCACTTGTTTTAATGGGAGCCTAATAGGATTACATGCTGATATTGTACTTAGATAGGTAGTATATATAATGATTTCTTTCAATACAATAACAATTTAATAATATTTAAAAATAGAGATTCCAACTGTATTGATAAAGACTTTTAGTACCATATAGGCTGGTTTTCACTATCCATGTATGAATTAAATTTACCAGAACAAATTTTTAGGTAGTATTTAGTAGTATATAATTTCAGATAGTATTGCATATTACTATTAACTACTAGTTCATTTCAGAAATATGAAAATATGTTTTACATAATTATGGTGTTATGACCATTACTCTTAGTTAGCCTATATTGAGCCCAAATGGTTATAATTTTTAATTGAGTTCCCAAAAAGGAATAGGTAAAGATATACTATCACTATTTGGTAAATCTTGACACTAATTTCTTTCTCATTATGACCCAATAAAATATTCAGGTAATTAAACTGGAGTAAAGTGTGGAAATACTAGCTTCTGCCAGCAGTTTTGACCACATCCCTGTGGGATGAAAAGTAGCCTATTATAAATTATTCCAAACCATATTTTTCCCTATTCCAAATATCATCCCGATCCTTTTAGCTGTTTCTGCTTGCAAGAGTAACAAACATACAGATAAATCCTCCCAAACTTTTGCATTTATAACATTAGTAAGAGGTAAGATTAAAGTATAGTAATTAGGGCATTACTCACAGGGTTTATTCTATTACAATCCTGTGCCAATGTAAACTCTGAGACTGTTCCATTTTCTTGGCCAATAAATAGCTGCCTAGTCTCTGGTGTATAGAACATTGAGGTGCAGCCTGAGGGCATGTATTGGCAAATAGATGGCCAGTACTGTCCAGAGTCCCTCTTCAACCACACTCGCACTGTCCTGAAATAAGATTCCATGTTTATTTTATATATAATCTAGAATAACAGCTTTTTTATAGGTTTTAAGAGCCATTACAATGGTTCTAAAAATATTGTTGAACATATGGCAAAGTATATAATTTATTTGGGTGTCCTGACTTAATCAGTCTGTTACAACTGTTATATCCAGCAGTCAATATTTTCCTTATGGACAGCCAAAATAACAATTAAATTATTGCAGACTTGCAATTATTTCATTACATAAATTCGCTTTATAACCATCTCATAACTATTAGATTAATGAACTCAAACAATTACTATCCAATAGACTTCAAATGAAATTGTATTACATTATGTATTTATCACCCACATTATGGGGGTGATTTCGAATACGTTGACAGTTCCAATGTAGGTACAAAGTAAACATTTTTTCGGAAAATAATGCAGATAATAGAGTTCTGTTATCAAACAATGGTCGAAATATGAGTCAGAACTCTTACTTATCATCACAAACGCTAATTACACCGTCCTCGCCAGGTATAACGACCGCTGCGTTTACATCGTCGGTGCACCCTTCCAATTTACTCAATAAGGCTGGCTTTTTTGTTGTGGAAAATCTATCGTTTGGCGTCCTTGGTGCAGGCTTGATTTCAGCAGCCATATTTCAACGTTTTAAATAAGAAATATTAAATAAACACGATTATCCGACACTAATTCTTTCAGCGAAAAGAAAACGTCATAATAATTTTGACGTTTAACTTTTGGTCTATTCTGTGGTTATCTGTGGTTCTGAAGACCGTAATAGGTACCTAAACGCTTTGAAGTCACTTATGTACAGAAAAAAATGCAACATTGGAAAATTAATTGACTACTTTGAAATCACATTTTACATTTTAATTTCATAAATATTTAATATAAAAGATTTTAATATTAGAAACAACTAAATTACTGTACTGTTGAGAATGGAAGAATAGTACTCTAAAATCCATTATACGCAGATCGGAGTAACCGAATACGACAAGTTTGTTGCTTTGTGATTAGTTGGGACGAACTATATATATAATTTAGATTTACATGTTAGTGGTGCTTTTCACCAGTTATGTCTGTTACGCCTTAATCGTATACTATAGAATATAAACATTAGAATTTATATAAACTATGTAGGTAGTATACGCGATACAAGGAATTTAATCATTAACAGCTTAACGCGATGTGAATATGGAATTTCATCGAACTACCTCTTAAACTGCCTTATATCACAATCACAACCATCACAACTTAGCAACCTATTTAGTACGGGAACCGCCTTTAGGAGGGTAGTTCAGAGGTAGGTACGAAAACCTAAGCACTCGCACGCCACTCAATGGACAAGCGACGCGATTGTCGCTTGTCCATAACTCTGCACTAGGCCCAGCGCACGCCGGTGGAGGCGCGGTGAAGATACTAAGAATAAATGAATTTAAAATATACCTTATCATCCATTTTAATGGGACGCGCACGGAGCGTCGTCAAGCTGAAGGCACACGCAGACCGGGATCGCATAGCTAGAGATTTACATTTTTACTAATGGACTTTCAAAGGTATTGATATAGAAATGGATAAAACAGGCATGCTTTATAATGATGCCGTGGCATTTAAATGGATTTAATTTCAGGGCATTGAAAGACACCCCGCAGTTTCGCGGCAGGATACTATGGCACACTGTGGAGGGCCACAGCGGGCCATTGCCAAAGACTTTGGCGCTTGTTGATACATGCCGCGAAGTGAGATTATCAACCCAAAATCATCTATCCCAACTATTAGCCTGTGTACCTTTCAAATGTTCAAATATTTATTATATACATAATTTACACATACAGGTGGTAGTAAATATATCCATATATTTATTTTAAAGTCTCTATAAATTACATTTTTAAATACTACTTACAAAAACATAAAAATAATATTTAAAAATATAAAAAATAGGAGCCGACCAGTAGTGGGAGCATGGTCCAAGCTACCGGTGGTTAGGGCTCCAGAGACAGAAACCTCCTCACGATACGTGCCGTTTCTAGGAGAACTGCCTTCTGTATCAGGTCCTTGATCCATCCACCTAACGCCAGCCTCCTAAGATGGATGTCGAGGTTTTTAGGGATTAACCCATTGGCCGACACGACTATCGGCACAATGATAGCCGAATCCACACTCCACATGTCGACGACCTCGCGAGCTAAGTCTAAGTAACTATTTTATTTGTTTATCTTTCTCAGCTTTCACGAGATTCTCGTCATGGGGAATGGTGACATCGATTATCACCGTGCAGCGTACTTATCGGTCTATCACTACTATGTCAGGTTTATTGGCTACAATAGTCCTGTCAGTAATGATAGACCGGTCCCAGTACAATGTGATATGAAACTTGGCCATGTATCAGAAAAGCTTTCACTATTCATACAGATTATTTGGAGATACAAATCACGAGGATATACATGATATGACCCAGAGACATTCTGAGGGCTTAGTACGAGTTATTTTACATTAAAACGAACGAGACCGCGTTCGGCGCTCTGATTGGTTCGTTTACTGGAGCCGGCCAATCAGAGAGCCAGACGCGGTAAGTACGGTTTGCAACCCAACTAAGTACCCTACACAATGTCGTACCTCATTAGATTTCATTCTTTTCACTATGAAATACTCTATTTCAATTTTGAAGAGAGAATTTTGCTGTCAGTCCATCAATGACAGAAGAATATTATAAAATGTAAAAAAAGTAAAAACGCGTATAAAATAATAAAATTATTGTAACATTAAATTCTTTCAATTAACAAAATTATCGTGGCATTCAGAATCTAAATGCAAAGCATTAAGTTTTTATAATATCGATTCAAAACGTAGGACTCCGATAATTTGTCGGAGCCCTGTTTAGGCTGGTGATGAATGACATGACCTTTCGTGACATTGGTATGTTTATGTGATGACGCTCATAGTCGGTGATGTTGTCAGCCTATTATGAATTCCTTACTATCTGGTAATAGTTAGCAACTTACTGTACACATTGATCTAACCTATATCACTGATAAATGGTGAAATAAGTTTCTTTTGAACGTGAAACACGCTATAATTAACAGTTTTTTATAAATAAGTGTTCTGACGTGTAGTGCCCAATATAATTATATTTTTTTATACAAAATTTTAATTCGCAGTTGGTTACCCTACAACTTGCCAATTTATCAGAACACCGGAAGATAAGCCATCGGTTGTGGCGAAGTTGCGGTGTTGAATATTCTCTGCTTATTCGAAAAGTGTTTGTGGTTGTGAAAAGTGTTGGACAGTATTAAAACATTAAAATGCCGCACGTTTTAGCAAAAATATCAATGCAGCTCTTAGCAAAGAGCAATGTGGATTTCTTGAGCATTGCTTCTAGGGCACAAAGGTAATAATACCGGCAATATGGTTTCATATTTACGTAACATTGTATTTAATTTTTATTTAATAATAGTATTTCATTATTTTTCTACGCCACTTTTACATAAAGGAACCATATTTTTTCTTAGAACTTGTAATATTTAATCTAAATTTGAGTTGTAAATTCGCATGCTATATCTAGGAAAATCTTTGAGTACTTAAATACTTAATTTTTTTCATGTATGCCGTTAATAATTTCAATAAGACTCACTAACCAATTTTCTTATTAGACAATGCATGTCATATAGGATTCTTATAAAAATATGTGGTGTGCATTAATTATACATATTAATTTAATTTACCTAATTTAATTGGTATTTTTATATAGTATAGCTAAGCATAAATAAATTCACAAAAAGTTAATGTTTCGCAGCAATTACTGGAGCAATGTGCCGATGGGCCCCCCTGATGCCATTCTTGGGGTCGCTGAGGCCTTCAGGAAAGACACAAGTCCTAAGAAAGTAAACCTTGGTGTAGGAGCTTACAGAGATGACAACAACAAGCCATATGTTCTGCCATCAGTGAGACAGGTCAGGCTCTTATTTTATTGTCCTTATTCAGCAGGACATATTGATTTGACATCCTATTGGAATCTTTAATTATTATTGGAAATAACAAGGTACTATACTCTAGTTGATAAATTAAAAAATAATTGCTATTCTATTACTTAATAGAGGTGAAGATAACTTGCTATATTGAGGGCACTACCTTGAAAGATACAGATGCTCTAGGCATTTTAATATCCATATTCAGATATAGGTATGCATTTATTTTCTGAGTAATAATTACTTAGCCATATGTATCTAACATAGTGCATGGTAACAACAAGATAATTACCTAAGTGCAGCAATAAGATCAGCTAATATTTTACTAAATTGTCGTGAGAAGTATAGTTGAAGGTTAGATAACCAAAAGAAAACACACATTTATGTCTTTGCCCAGCACTGATTGAGAAAGCAAGGCATAGAGTGAGAAAGGCAAATATTTAGATTATCTACTGTCATCAATTTTGTATATTTTTTTTATTTGAATTAATATAGAGAATAGAGAAATATGTACACCAACAGCTAGATATATAGATATTGACGCTTTATTATATAGTGTGCAATTATAATATTTTATTTTCTATCACAGGCTGAAGAAAACATCTTTAAGAAGTGTTTAAACCATGAGTATGCTCCTATTGGTGGTGATCCAGTGTATTGTGATCTTATTGCCAAACTTGGCCTTGGTGAGAACAGTTTAGCCATTAAAGAAAAAAGAAATGCGACTGTCCAGGTATGTTTCCTTTGAATCTATTAGAAGAATAATATTCTACTATTGACTTGTCTCAGATTTGCTTGAGTAATATTTTTCAACTTTCCCAGCAATAATGGAAACAACATAAAATGGACTAAACCAATTTTTATTTTAAATATACATTTGCAAAAATAAAATGCATCTGATTGTGGCAGGAGAAGTATGATATATTTTTTATTTATTATTACTCATCATAATTATATCGTGCTTAATAAAATATAAGTACCTACCTACTATCAATCAGTTGGTAAGGTAGTATGAGAAAGAGCATCTTTATAAATTCGTCTATTTATCTTATAGTCGATATCTGGTACTGGTGCCCTGCGTCTTGGATTCGAGTTTATTGGAAAGCATTACAACCACGCTAGGGAGATTTGGATGCCTTCACCAACATGGGGCAACCACCCACAGATCTGTAACACATTGGGCATTACACACAAGAAGTATCGCTACTATGACCCTAACACTCTCAAATTCAATCTAAAGGGGTGCTGTGAAGATATCTGTGTAAGTGTCACACCATATTATTGACTTTATCAGTACTTATGTATGGATAGTATTAAGATTAGACATATTGTGTCATCAATGATATAATATCTTGAAGGTCTATGTTGTATTATACTACATAGACCTGTTTATTTCCATGTTGCTACATTTCAATGGAAGCAGATAGTTTTAATACTAATTGCATTTCATGTTTATTTTGTAAAATGATAAAAAAATAAAAAGTGTGCTATAATAATTTGTAGCTAATAGCTAGATCGGGCGTCCTTAGCGTGACTAACAAGCGGATTCAATTCCCGAGTGTTATAAATTTTCAGTGTAAAGGTGTGTCTACTTATAAATGGGCGCCGCACATGCTCACACTCGCACTGGTTCACGATGTTGCGCAAATGGCGCTTTGACATGCGCGTCGACACGTGAGAGCATATGCGGAGCTTGCCACGCGCACGCGGCTCGTGGCCGCCAATGCGAGTGTGAGCATGTCCGAAGCCCCAAAAGACCCATTTTGAGAACACTTTTCTACATTGATCAACAGTGGTGAATTATATGTCATACTAGCTGACCCGGCAATCTTCGAACCGCCAAAGATAATTTTTCTCAATCTTTAAAGCTTCTCTGGACTTTCACGAACATTTCAAGACCAACATTAGCCAAATCGGTTCAGCCTTTACCGAGTTTTAGCGAGATTACCGATCGGAAATTCATTTTTTATTTATATAGATGAAAGTTCATATAGAATACTTCATTCTGATAGGCAGCTAAGCTCAAATAGCTCAATTATACTCCTATACACGGCACCGCTGCACCGCACGCGTCTCCCTAAGTTTCCTACATCACGCGTTCTCCTTGGAAGTTGTACATGACGCGTGTGAATCCGCGCGCAGAGAGCTGGTTTTTTACCGACTTCAAAAAAAGGAGGAGGTACTATGTTCGGCTGATTGTTTTTTTTTTTTTTTTTTTTTTTGTTTGTTCGCGCAGTACTCCGCCGTTTGTGGACCGATTTCGAAAATTTTTGTTTTGTTTGAAAGGGTATACTCCCGAGATGGTCCCATTTCCATGAAGTCAGGATCTGATGATGGGATCCTAGGGAAACCGAGGGGAACTTTCGAAAATTCTATGGGGGAGTAATGCGTCTATTATGTTTTTCAATTACGAATTTTGAACACTACAATTTAATAAGGGTCTGGAGTCGACCTGATGATGGAATCGACAGACAGTCGAGGGAACTCCTCAGCGGTTTATATTAACTACCTTGTGTTTGGGCTTGATTAATTTCTATTGATGAGGACTTTACACCTAGATAGAGTGGGGCTGTCATTAAGGGTCTGATGATGAAGAAGTGTAATTGTTAAGGGAACTCCTCAACGGTATACAGTAATTACCTTGAGTTTGGGCTTGATTAATTTGTATTGATGAGGACTTTGCACCTATGTATATTATAAGTAACAAAACGGGTATATGTAGCTTTACACTGAAAATGGTAAAATTAAAATAAAAACTGCGTTTAAAAAACCGACTTCAAAAACCAAAAACTAATAACAAACAAAAAGTCAATACTAAAAAGCAAAAAATAACTATTATTAGTACTGATAGGTTACCCACCCACTGATAGGTTAGAAGTCGGTGCCATAAGCTCATATCACAATGATATAACTTAATGTCCACAAAATTGTGAATTAGATACCTATTAAGGTTTTAAGTAATGAATAATTTTGTATGGAACTTATGGCACCGACTTCTTACCTATCAGTGGGTGGGTAACCTATCAGTACTAATAATAGTTATTTTTTGCTTTTTAGTATTGACTTTTTGTTTGTTATTAGTTTTTGGTTTTTGAAGTCGGTTTTTTAAACGCAGTTTTTATTTTTATAATTAGCTATCCGTCAATAGCTAGGATTATAAATAGCTCATGTTGGTCTAAAATATGTTAAAAACATCAACCATTTGCGGCGTGCGTCTACCTAAGCTGCCACATTATGCAAAATAAACTAAACAATATAACAATGCAATTATGTAACTTATTTTAGATGACAGTGGATATTTTATTTATCATTCGTTAATCAATAAGTCTATGATTCTTAGGGCTGATTTTTCAACCAACAGATATTTCTAATTTGTAGAATAAAATTGGCATTTAAACGTTTTTGGTATGGAACAATTGTCAAATATTTATAATTATGCCTCCGATAAAATTTGTCTAGTGTTGGATAAATCAACGTTTGTTTAAATAGAAAAAATAACGCATAACGAACATGTCATGCGTTGCGTAGGTGGTTTTAATTAACAAAACGTACGAAAACATTGATTTCTCTCGCTGGAATTGAACTTAGCTGACACAGAATCACTGTTGCACAACTATGAAAAGTAGGCCCAGTTTTCATGAAGTTAAAGTGCCCATGGTCCTTTAAAAAATAATAAAAATTATACCAACTAAATGTTTGTATGTATGTTAATTCAATATCTCAATAAAACTGGTTCCTCAAACATTTATTGACGAGATCGCTAACTGTTTACGACAACTTTTATTCAGTCTTTAGTTATCGTTTTTATTACAACTAGATAAAACAGGATTGTGTAGAGCAAAAATGTATTTACTGGTTTTTATTAGATAAATAATATGTACGATAACTCGGTCACGATGTTGGCGCGTGATGTATACCTACATAATACATATTATGTCTAGAGCATTTCTCTATTCTTTTAATTTTTTTTCTATAAACACGTGAAGGAAGGATGTTATGCATATCATCGTACATGTATTGTCATTTTGATATTTGAATTTATACTTAATGTCTTTGTTGTTAGAAATTATTTTCCATCGCTATATGAAAGCTATTGACATTGATATATCTGCGTTTTGTTATAGATAGGTATGTACTGTATATCATTCTATGTTGCTAGGTACATACTTGCTGTATTCAATTACAAGACTAGAAGATGTAAATTGGAATTGTAAAGAAATGTAATCAGTAACGTCATTACCATCTTGTAGATGGATTGATATTTTATCGTAGTTTTATAGGAGTTTGTCTAATTACATTTTGCTGTTGTTTTGCTTTGAAAGGATAGGCTGTCAAATGTATAAGACATGTTCTGGGCATAAGAAGTTTTCTACTTGAAATCTCCCGCCAAAAATATCTTTTTTTCACACAAATGTCGAAAACTTTTGTTGTCTTGCTTGACTTCATAAGCAGTAATTTTTAATTAAAGTTGTTTCATGCTTGTTATAAATCTCACTATAGTACTTGTTGTTTGATCTCCTGTCATCCGAATAGAGAACCACTTCGTTTTGAAGGTGGTTAAACAGTAGGCGATTTTCCATACAAACGTTATCACTGTTATTTGTACTTCTACAATCGTAAAACAATAGTATCACACACTGAAACCGAACTTGATTATATAGGCTAACAGAAGTTATTGTATCGACCTTAGATGGCTATTTAATTAATAGCTATATTATGTGTAATTATCATGATAATGGTTAAATGAATAAGTGTTATTTCCAAATCTAATCTTATTTAATATTATGCGAATGTTTGCCAGTTTGTGTGTATGTTTGTTACTCAATCACTTAAAACCGGCTGAAGGGTTCGTCATGAAATTTAGAACAGTAGGGGTAGGTTATGGTCAGAAATAACACACGGGTTTTTTATTCCACGGTAAAAGAGGTCTATACAATGTGTTTGACATACAGAACTTGTAAGCAAGCGTTTTTTGTATTGTTAATCAAGATTTTATTACAATCAGGCTATTTAAGACTTAACTAATTATGTAAGTAAAGATGTAAAATATATTTTTTACTTTTACAGTCAATGCCACCGGGCGCTATTATTCTGCTGCATGCGTGCGCGCACAACCCCACCGGTATCGACCCTAAACCTGAAGAATGGCAGATATTGTCTGAGGTAACATATTTACTTATAATTTAATATTACGAATAACACCAATTTTTTTTGCGAAGACTGATATCCAAGGAACTAACACTGTCAAAAATTTATGAAATCGTCTCGTCTTTGTGGGGATGGATGGATGTCCGCAAATATTACCTACTAAACAATTGCCAATTTCGAAAATTATAAATTATACAGTTATCCATTAAGGTACACCTTTCAAATTGGTGAATAATTATTATTGTCAAACCAATATAATATTATTTAAAACTATTCTTATAGATCATAAAAGAGAAGAGATTGCTGCCCTTCTTCGACATGGCGTACCAAGGATTCGCGACCGGCAGCGTTGACAATGACGCGTTCGCCGTGCGGCTCTTTGAAAAACACGGACACCAGATCATTTTGGCTCAGAGTTTCGCCAAAAACATGGGTAAGTAATAAGGATATATAATCACAAAATAACATGTCATCTAGCGGGCTGTATGCTATAGTAATTTTTACATGCATATCTATATATTCTTGAATCTATATCCACCAACTGCTGATAGAAGGTTTCCTTCAGACTGCACCATCTATTACATATATATCTACCCACGTTTCTGTGCCTAGTTCCTTGACGCCCTTCCACCATCTTTATCTGTCTTTCATCTCCTCGTCTTGCTGTTTGGCCTGCCCACTTTCTGCATGTAATTATTAGCGCTATGATTGATCTGAATGATATGTCATTATAAGTAATGGAGACTTCTTCATATACCTACTTAGGTAGCAGATGCTCAAATATTTGTTTGTGACGTCTAGCGCTATGTTTACTTGCCTTTTTTTGATGACGGGGGGAAATCTAATTCAAATCGCCTAGATTTTTGGGGATAAAAGAGGAGTATGGGATTTTTACCTCACTAAAATCACCCCAGTGACCACCCCCAACACCTGTATGGAAGCACCTGGTTCTCTAAAACAAAACCTGCTCCGGAGCCCCCACAGTGCAACGCCTGTTACGACATAGCCCTAAGATGTTCACCTACATACTGTTATTATAATTAGGGAAAAACAGTGTTCTTTCAGATCTCAACTTATTTAGCCTTTTCTGTAAAATTCCTTAGATTTTTTGCCCTAGTGTCGATAACAAGACAATGCAATATCTGTAGCTTATTAGTAATTGTTGTCGAGTCCGTCGTGTCGTCATACAACACTTGTTTATGAATGATCAACTACGTGTTTACCATTCTGACCTTGTTATCTTATCCGAGTTTTTATAATTACGTCAATTGGGTGGAGTGCAGATCATCAGTATGGGATTTTTTAACCTGAAATTAATTTGACCTCTGTGACATAAATACTGATATAGGTTTTTATTCATATTGTACCTACCTCAGAGTCAAAGCCGTATTATCCCTAATTATAGGGAAACTAGGCATAGACTTAGACACTAGGTGGACGCGACGCCGTGAGAATCGTGTACCTAAAGTGACGGCGGCGCCTATGGTGCTCTCTAAGTTCATTATGCACTATTGTGTGAGAAAAGAAAAACAGGTGTTTCTCCACATTACAACACAATAACAACTTGGTAACAGTTGACGAAGTAAACACTCGTCTAACATTTAAGCAGAAAGTATGTGAGCTTCTCTTAAAGGGGTTGGCTGAATCATCAGGTTAACTATTTATTCAATGTGTAATGTATACTTATATAATATAATTCTAGTATAAATATAAACATATTTACTAATGGATTATGTGTATGTATATTGTCTCTGAAATTCACACGTTTAACTTCCTTTTGTTAAGTAAAACCATTGCTTGCTTCTTGCTCCTACATTTACTCTTCGCTGCATCACCCAAAGGTGCGCAGACAGACTGCGAGAAAATGCCTGCGCCATTATGTCCACCTATTGTACATCAAGTGCATGAAGCATATTAAATAAATGAATAAATATTTTATTTAAGAATGATAAAAACGACATTTCTAAGTAAAACGTGTAAAAACACATTGAATAAAAATTCCTGCTGGAAATTTCAGGATTGTACGGTGAACGTGTCGGAGGACTCACGTTCGTATGTGCCGACCAAGACACTGCCGCTAAGATGATGTCGCAACTGAAGATCATGATCCGAACGCTGTACTCTAATCCTTCCATCAACGGATCGCGTATCGTCACCGAGATCCTTTCCAGCCCTGAGTTGAAGGCCCAATGGTAGGTTTTGGTGTAAGCTCGTAAGCTCCATTTTATTATTAAACTATGCTGCTATGAGTAAAACGTGCAATCAACACAATATTATACAGTTTTACTGAAAGTACCTCAAGTACAAGTACCTAGTATGGTGCCAACTTGGTTGCGCAAGCAACTGATTGTCAGTGACCCAATCAACCCTCATGTTTGTGCTAATATCTTTCTGTAGACACTTCTATAGAATTTCCACAACCTATAAATGTAACCCATCAAAATGTAATGGTTGTGGCAGTAACTTCGATTAAAAATACTATTTCAGGTTGAAGGACGTGAAAGAAATGGCAGATCGTATCATCCTTATGCGTAAGAAACTGCGTGAGGGTATCGAGAAGCGTGGCAGCAAGCACAAGTGGGACCACATCACCAGCCAGATTGGCATGTTCTGTTACACTGGACTCAAACCTGACCAGGTATAATGAAACACCATCCATCAGTATTCATACTCCTTTTGCTAGTGTCAATGTAGTGATATCGGTACGATAGCGCACCTCTTATATTTTTATGCTTTACTGTGTTAATTTGCATTAATGGCTGATGCTACTAAAATATATGTTGCACTGTTTTCAGGTGTTGCGAATGACAAAAGATTTCCACATTTACCTAACGAAGGACGGTCGTATCTCCGTCGCTGGCATTTGTTCAAGTAATGTTGAGCACGTCGCAGAGGCGATGCACACGGTCACTGCGTCCGCCAAAGTCAGAGCCTAATGCAGCGTGTCAGACTAATTGGGTACTTGTCAATCTTTATTTCTTATACTACTTTCTTTCTATGAACAGTTTTGTCTATCTTTGCACTTAAGTATTTAGTTAATAGGACTATTTGCTATATATTTTATAAAATAATATATTTATAAGACAAAAATGTATACCTACATATTTGCTAATTTGAATCTCCAAAATTGTTTTTACACACATTCTTTTCGAGGCATGCTATTGATGACACATAAGCACGTATTTATTTATAAATATTTTGTTTCAGCGTTACATAAGCTACTGTTACCGAATAGTGTCGCGTCGTGTCTGTTACGTCGTTGCAACTCGCATTCAATGTACCGAAAGAGCACAGTATTTATGAAACAAGCTTGTTTACGTTTAATATTTTTATTGCTTTTGTCATATACTTTTGTATGTATATTTTATTTTTTAAATTAAAAATGTTCCCCTTGTTCATGAAAGCATTTCGTAAATTCTACTTGTTTTCTGAGATTAAATAACTATGTGATATTTTATCGTGTTGAGAAATTGTTAAGAGGATATATTCGTGAACAAAGGGTTAAGTTTAAGAAATCGCTTTTTTATTTTCTTATTATTACGCTTCTTTTTAGTTTTTAAACGTAATGTAGCTAAGTAAAGACCTCAACGATTCGATTAATATTTTATTCGTTAAAATAAGTAGATAGAATAAACTTGCGAAAAACACAGAAAATTGTATCAACATGTTTGATTCTACGACGGTACTAAGTATTTCTACGCAAAATATTTACAGCTGACGAAACAAATAAACAACCTTATCCTAAATTTATTAAACATGCCGATGCAGGTCAATCGTTAACATTGCCTCGTAATTTAACAACAATGTACAATACTTAAATCCTTAAAGGAAACATTACATAATAGTAGGGAACACATTTTATCCACAATTTTAACAATTGTGGTAACAATCTTAAGCATATTCACCTGCATCCAATATCGACATAAACCTATTAACATTTCTCTAAACTAATCCAGTTTATTGAAGGACATACATCAATTACCGAAAAATGCCTTTTCGTACATTATTATTATGATACAAAATATACTAGTACATTTTTAAAGTTGACAAACGTCAGGGATATTTTCAATAAAAATAATTATTTTAACATTATATGTACAATTTTTTATAGAAAAATTACTTTCTATTCATGGCACATTTCTTTAGAATGTAAAACACATTCTCTTAAAGCAAGAAATATGTACCATTATAAGACACACCTCGAGTGTCGAGGGTCTGTTAGTGAGAAGCTCCAATAATTACTGGTTCTTGTATCAGTGAGGACATGTCTAGGATACACAAAACAATTTCTTTTTTAACAAAACGGTGACGTGATTGTTATCCTTTGAAAAAAAAGGATCAAGGTCATGGAGATTTGGAAAATCCCAAATTCAAGTTAACAATTAATACAAAACATCACATTAGACAGCGTGACATTCTTGTCTAAATAATAATTATACATAATCACAAACCTTCCCTATAGCTTGAATTGATTAGAATAAACGTAAGTATCACGTAGCACCACCATTTTCAAAAACTATGTCATCATCAATTAATATCTCCCCACTTCTGCCAGCCTCGACTGCAATGCCTGATCCATATATAATCCCTTGGTAAGTTCCACTGGAAATAAGTTAATACACAGCAATCTCGTGTTTGTATACACTATTTATGGTTTGTTTCATCAACTGATATGTCGATAAATTAATAGGCGTATTGTTTGTATGCTGAATTTTCTTCAGTAGACATACTATTACCATATAAGTAAAATATTTGCTTATTCAGATGGGTTCATTATTGTACAGCAACAAAATCATTCCAAGTACTGTCTTGCTACGTAGGCTAGCCTTCGTAGTGCAAGAGCTGTAATAGCCATGCCTTTTTATTAGAAATATTATAGGAGAGCTTACGATTAGCGAACCACATCTAAAACTGCCATCGATTGGTCTTAACAGAGACTCCGCGCTAATAGCTAAGGACCGTGGGGTCCTTAGCTATTATTAATATAAATCATTAACGTTTTCAACTTTATGTAATTAAGAAGTATTTCTGAATATTGTGATTTTCTTTCTGATATTTAAGTTGGCACTTATTTGGATAATCTGAAAATCTAACGGGATTTTTGAAAATTGTTAACTTTATAGAATTTGATGTTCCAATCGAAATAAGTATGCCGCTCTCGCTATAATGTTTAAAAAATGTCGGAAATAAAATAGTACAGTTTTAGAAAAGTAGTAGAAAATGTTTTAAAGAAGTAAAACATCTGAAATGAAATCGATAGTGCGGTGCAGTAGCTAGGATATTTATTCGTATTTCTAGCTGAGTAGCTTGAAAATGGTGAAGATACTTATTGTTAAATAGTAAAGCGCAGCTCATCAGTGTTCTGTTTCCGGAAAGAGGATATCTATACAGCTAACAATTTTCGTTAAAGTTAAAACACCCGCAAAATCTGTCCTGGTAGTTATTTACCACCAACAAATAAATATTACTGACTCAAATAATTTCCAAAATCTAGATATTGCTTTAAAATCCCTTAAGCTTTAAGTATATTTAATCTAATGTACTACTTTACAATTGGCTACTGGCATATCGATAATCTTAAAAAGTAAACTGATTATGATACAATTTTATGTACACTAGTATGTTATTGTGAAAATTTAAATGAGTATGTTTTCTATACATACATATTTAGTAAATTGTTAACACGCACCCCAAGTATATTATAAATATACTATCTTAGTAACAACTGTGAACAACTAGATAAATAAATAATGTGATTTAATATTACTGGTGATATTATGTATTATGAAACACCTATAAGGAAACGTATATAAAATAAAGTGGATCTATGTATTATTTTTATGGTATGTGAATTATATCAACAGTGAGTAGCAGGTATACAGTTTTATTGCTGTTCTATTTGAACTTATACAACAGATACTAATAAAGGCAGTCTTTTCAAATAAATAAATATAAAACTAGAGATTATGTTTCCATTGTTATTGCATTTAGGTTGTCTTAAGTCCAAATACTGAAAGGCTACTCAATTTTAAGTTGTATTTAATTATCGCACGATATTTGGAAAGTATTTGGGCGCACCTCTGTCATTTTACAAAGAATTTGTGTTGACAGAACTATACTTAGCGCGACTTAAAATAGAGTGGCTTTTGGGTATCTGAACATTATAGAGTTCACCTAAAATTTGTCTATAGTACTTCAATTTCTTTTATTGAAATAACAAATGTATAAGTAATCTACGTTTAAACTAAATAGCTGGCTTGAATCGAGATAATAGTTGAACAATGAACAATAATAGTGATTTTGTTAGTAGGTAAGCCTGTAAGGTAAGTAACATCTATATCAACAACTAAAGGCTAGAAATAATTTGTGCGTAACGAATAGATACTTGATAACAAAGTTGCCATGTAAACTAAACCTATACTTTTTATTGCTACATATTCCAGAAGGTAATGTAATCAGGGACCACTGTTAACAATGAACTACGTGAAGGCAGTTGGTCCCATTTTACTTAAATAATGATCACACACACATGTGAACACGAAATTGAAACCTATTACCACATTGTAGACTGTATGTAAACAATTATCATTGTGTGAACTTATAAGTTATATGCACACATTTTCAATGCGCTTTCTTACTGACATATTCAAGTAAACAGTAGGTAGATATATTTCTAGTTACTGTATGTTGATTATGAGTTTAAACTAAGCAAATGCAAATTTGTATAACTTTAGATCAATAAATGAGATATTCGTGACATCTTGTTTTATTTCCCAAACCAAGTAGTTTTGTGACTTTTTTTAAACAGGATTGTATTGCATGATGTCAAATGAAAACGGTTTTATTTTTAAATACCAATATCAGTTAGACACACCCAAGTTGAATACTTGTATAATAATATCTAGAATCTAGATAATGTTAGAATATCTCCAATTAACTAATTTGTATTTTGCATCTGTTAGCCTCTGTATTATGAAGGGAAATGTGTAATATCCAGATAGTATACAAACACCTTTTAAAACTGTATATTTAACAGAACAAACAAAAGGGCACTATGATCACGCCTCCCACGAGACCGTCACTGTCACCACTTTACACTTCACATTATATGTCCGCGCTTAGTCTAGTTCATTACATTTTAATAAAGATACTTTCCACAGGTTCCATTATTTTTATTTAACCTACGTTATTGCTCATTTGTTTATTTATTTAAAGGCATACTTTCACTTACAGTTTGTGAGTCAGTCGAGTTAGCAGAGTCTTCGCCTAATAGTCGGCTCAGTTGGTCGTCGAGCACGTCAGCTCTCCTCGGCTCGCGCGCCTTCGCCTCCACCGTGGCGAAGACATCGTCCCCCGCCATCATGTCGCCCTCATCGAGATACGAGAACGAATCTAAATTTATATCGGAAGTGGTGATCGCGGTGCTGTAAATGTCTATTCTCTTCTGCTGTGATTTTGCTTCGGCCACTTTTTCAGAAAGTTTCTCTTTCGCTTTTGTAAGCGCTTCTGATTCTGACTTATCCAGTTTGGAATCGTTCTCTTTTAGCTTCTCGATTTTTGTTTTCAGGGCGAATGAGGAATCGTTACTTGACGAACCGTCGTCTTGTAGCTGGCTGAGTAACGTTCGCGTCGCGAGGGTCATTGCGCTCGAACTGCTGTACATTTCGCTGCCCTCACCTGAACAAATATTTAGGTTTTCTTACAAACAAATTGAAAGAAAAAACAAAAATAAAATAAAGGTGTAGTTAAATATATAGATTACCACTTGGTGTTGCCCGCTGTAAGCTCTCCTGCGATTTGGTTTTAGTTTCGTGGCTGGTGGACATGTATTCATTGTCACTGTCACTGGACATGCCTAGGTCTAAGTGTAATGAATTTAATTTGTCTTCATTTTTCCCTTTTCTCGATACTGTATCTAGTTCCATTTCCCAATCAG